GTCATCTCTCTGGAGTAGGCCAGTGGTTGGTTGGCCTGCCAGATCATTCACTACTGATCACGCCAGACACTGATACACTCAGTGAACAAAAAAGTCCAAATCCCTCAATAACGTTGTTTTGTTGTTGTTGTTTTCATGCCCTTGCCCTGGAAAAGAACGAGCCTCAGCTTCACAACTAATTTGCAAAATATAATTGTCTCTTTTCTTTATAATATCTTCAAGTAACTAGCCTTGGAGAGATGAAAACAATCGAAACTGGGAACAAAGAACTCTCTGCTTGCAAAGGTTTTCATTTTCAGCTGAGAGCATTAGTCTCAGGAGACAGAAAAATCATCTGTGGTTATGGGTTCCACCTACACACTGCCATCAAATTCATTTTCCTCAAGCTCAGGGTTGAATACATGATTTCTCTATTCAAATTTCTTTCATTGCCAAAAGCAGTATCCAACCCCCCTCCCCCCCAAAATTCTCAAAATTATCTTGGTATTTCTTGAGAAAAGGAACTCCAAGATTAAATAAGTTTAGGAAATGAATTAAGCAAAATTTCTTACTGCTGAACTTTAAAAAAACTAACCTGAAGCATGAATTTCCAAGGTGTGGGGCATTTCTGAAACTTTTTAAATCAAGATAGTCCCTTACCCTTATTCCCCTCCAACCACCATTACCCACCTTCCCCCTCAAAAGCCCACCTAGAACTTTTCATGGAATTAGAATCCCATGGGACAGTTTGGGAATCCCCGACCAACCCTACAAAGAGCCTGGATGCTGAAATCAGACCTGAGCGTAAGTCCCTGTGTTACTACTTACAAACTGAGTGATATTAAAACCACCACCACCACTTAATTTTTCATATGTCTGTTTGCTTATTGGTAGAATGAGCTAATAACCTTCCCAGAGTTGTGAAGACTGAGTTAACACTCTTAGGATTTAGACCTTAACTTGCTTTTCCAGCTTCATGAAGGAAGCAGGAGCGAGAGAGTGGAGGACCCTCCAAACCGTAAGTCATTGCAAATGATGGGAAGGTTTTAAACAGGAATAAGTGGTTTGAATTCCCCTGCCTTTGCTAGGGCAGCTGGTAATACTCCCAAGGCTCATTCTGCCTTGCCCTTATCTTAACACTTATAAATCCTACTTATCACTCATGGTCCTGCTCAAAAGACTCTTTCTCAACCATGTCCTCATGCACACCGTCACTGGCAGTTTGCAGTAATCTCCTCATGTAAACTCTAGAGCCTTTTTTCTTTAGCACTTACCACTTACTACCTACAGATCAGAGTTATTTATGTGCTGCTGTGTTTATTTCCCTAGCTAGCATCCTTCTAGGGTAGGGTCCACATCTTATCCCATGTTTGTCACTTTAGAGTTCACAAAGGGGCTTTCTAATTACAACATCACTGTACATAAATATAGAGTTGATTTTCTCCCAAGTTAGCAAAAATCTGTTAGTTTAGAGCTCTTTCCAAAAGTAAATTCTATGAGAGCATCATCTGCTGCCCTCCTGTGTTTGACACAAATATAATTTTAGATCAGAACAAAAAAGAATAACTGGCTCAATTAAATTTATTTGGACTAATTTTGTTTACTTCCAGGTCCTTAAATCAATTTTTCCCCCACACAAATTAATAGTCTTCCCATTAAAATCATCTTCATTTAAAATATTTCAAGTTATATGTTTACTTAGTTATATAAGAACTTTCATATTGGTCTGATATTCCTTTAGTATAATTTACTAAACTTTTAATATTTCTATTTTTATCTGAGACAATAACTGATTTCAACTTATTCTAATATGATTTTTACATATTTTTACATTTGGGCAACAGAATATATAAGACTTTGTACTTCAGAACTGGAAAGACCTGGTTCAAATCCTGGCTTAGTCACATAGTAATCGTGTGATCTTGAGCAAATTACTTTTCTGTACCTATAGCATTTGTAAAACAAAGTTAATACCTCCCAAACATCACATAAGATAAACACGTAGCACACCATAAAAGCTATCAATGTTACCTAGTATTACTACTTAGGAAGCATGTTTTGAAATATATCTTTTCTCTGGTATTACCTATTTTGGTGCAGATGAAGACTGCCTAAGAACATGAATTAGCATGGGCCCAGCATAGTCTCTGGATTAAGTTCAGGTAATAAAACAGACCAAAATCCTTGCCTTTGTGAAACATAACAATATAAATCCTAGCCAGTCCATGGGGGTCTTTCTCTAAGATACCAACTTCCTTTTAAAGTCTTGCAGTTCTTAACTGTCCATGTTTCTCTCTTGATTCTTTATATGAGCGGCCCCATACTGTATATCCAGTGCCTTCCTCTCTATCTCCAGTGCAGGTGGTAATCTCTCCTAGTCTACTGCTGCAGCCCCCAGTCAGGGACAGGGGCTCACTGTCATACTAAAGAAAACAGACAGTACACTAAAACCTCAAAATAATGGACTAATTGAGGTGAGGGAGTGCCTGTTAAAGCTGAAAGTCCGTTATAGAACAAAGTGGTTTATCCACATGCGTCTGTTAAAAAATTGACAAATTAGTTTACCTGTTTTTACTTATGTAGACACATTTGTGTACTTAAAATTATGAACTATAATTTTAAATTTATACTGAATGATTCTAGTAAATGCGTGCATTCATCAGTCACCACCATGAGTAAACAAATGCAGTGGCTGGGGTGTGGCTTAGCACATCAGAAAACCAGCCTGCACGTTGGTGAAATTGCTAAATAAAGTCATGCCACAAGACAGCAGAACCAATTACCGCAAGTGATGCGGCGTGATCGTTCCCCAAACATTATGGGTGGTGACTCTTGGATTTCAATATAGACTATAGTTGTAGATATGTAATCTTTTTTTATGTCAGAGAAATTACTAAAGTGTTTTTTCCAACATATGACCTATTCGCTAAAATTTGTTAAAAATAACAGTGAATTCATAACAAAAAGTAACCTGTTAATTTAATATAAGCAAATATTTGTTAAAAGCATTTAAAAATTAACAGGGTGTTAATTTTCACATACAGATTGGAAATTTTGTCTGTTAAATCTGAACTCCAGAAAATTGAGGGCTTACTATATTTGCTACCAGAGATAGAATTTAGGCTATCAACAAAAAACTTAAAATTGTGAAAAACTTATACTTTCATTGTAATTTTTCAGCTTCCCAATACTTCCCTGAGGAGACCAGTGGTGATATTAATAAATGTGACTTGATATGCATAATGTGAACATTTGGAAAGCCTGTATAACTCAGTGAGCCAATACTTTCCAAATGACTGATGCATGGTGTTGCAAAATAATGTATGGGTCAAAGACCCAAAGTTTACGATAGATGAATGGATTTTAATGTAATAGAGAATGAAAAGTTCGGTGATCAAATTCCACTTCGTAACCAAGTTTTAAGAAATTACTACTTGTTGGGTTTTGCTGGAGTATCAAAGACTATCCAGTTATTTGAAATGGTTATTAAAATATTTCTCCCTTACTACATATTTATGAGAAGTAGATTTTTTCATACTTCAACTAGAACTTCATATCCCAATAGTTCGAGTGCAGCAGATAGGAGAATCCAAATTTCTACTAAGCTAGACATTGAAGACATCTGTAAAATTGTTTTTAAAAAAGTTAGTTTTTGCTAGCATCTAATGGGTTTATTGCTGTTATTTTAAATAAATTACTACATATTTTTAAATTTTCTGTTTTAACTTCTAATTTGGTGAATCTCAACAGCTACAAACCTCATAAACAAAGGCTCTTTGGGGTCTTCAAGAATTTGTAAGCCCTGGCCCACAGACATGGCTCAGCTGGTTGTCTTCTGGTGTACTGAAAGGCCACCAGTTCAATTCCTGGTCAGGGAACATGCCCAGGTTGCGGGTTCGGTCACTGGTGAGGGCACAGTAGGTGTGTGTATGGGAGGGAACGGATCAATGTTTCTCTCTCTCTAAAAATCAATGAAAACCTATAAAAATTTTTTTGTAAGAATGTAATGGAATCCCAAGGCCTAAATAGGTTTGAGAACCACTGATCTAAATCATGACAGATCACTTAATAACCTTTCAATGGCTGTCAACCGCCCTCGGGTAAAAGCAAGAAGTCCTTATGTTGGCCTACCAGACTAACCTGTTTCCTTTCTATTACTTGTCCCTCCACTCTTTCTCTTGCTCATTCCCTCCAGCCATACTCGCCTCTTTGCTGTTCCTGCAACAAACAGACACAACCTGTGTTAGGACCATTACACCAGCAGTTCCCTTTGCCTGGAAAGCAAATTCCCCAGTTTTCTATATGGCTATTACCCTCACTTCCTTAAAGTCATTGCTCAAATGTCACCATCTCAATAATCTAACATGAGCATCCTATTTAAAATCGCAACCCTACCTACTCCTATCCTCTAGAGCATCTTCTAACATTTGCTTATGTCTACAGTTTGTATGGCCTCCCTCTCCCCTCACCAGTATAATCCCCCCACCCAAAGTCTGAAAAAGTGCCTACCACGTAGGGCCCAATGAATACAGGGTGCCCCCGCCAAAATGTATACACACTTTAACAGCTGGTAGCTGAATTTTGAAAATGAAATGTATTTTAATAAACACTGCCTTTATAATTATTCAAAGTGTGTGTATACATTTTGGGGGAATACCCTTTATTTGTTGAATGTTAATGAAAAAACTATTTTGACAGCTTGTCATTCCTCATGGCATGTCCACAAAGTCCCAAGAGAAAGAAAGGGTGCAATTTCAGAGCGAGGGGAGGGCAACGATGAACAGATTTTTTGAATGGGAGAAAAAGAAACTGGGATGCAATGATCACAAACTTCAGTACTGAAGGCATCATGGACCTGAAAAGGCTCTTGGGAGAAGTCAGGGGGGAGAATATTTTAAGGTTGTGCAGGGAGGATGTGTCAGGCAAAGGACGCTGGCCCGCGCCCACCCCGGTTTCCTGTTCGGACTCCCCAGAACCCTCCCTGAACCCCTCCACCCGAACACAAGTAGCCCACACCAAGAGACTGAAAATTTTCTAAACTTTATGGAAAAATCAACAACGACAGTGTTTTAGGGTCGCCACGGTCACAGTTCTCAGGGGTCCTGGTCATCTCCCCAGCGCTGTGCTCCAAGGGTCCACGTGACGGCAGGTCGGGAGAGACCCCCGGACGAAGCACTTCTGCGCAGGGACGGCACGAGAGCCCGGGGCCGCGGAGAACCGGTCCACCGGGTCGGGGGCACGCGGGAACGCCGGCAAGCTGCAGGCACGCGGGGCGGCACCGCGGCTCTCCCGCACGGCGCCGACGCGGCCGGATCTCAGTTCTCCTCGGGCTTGTCGGCCGGCGGGCCGCACGGCTGCAGCATCTTCTCCATCAAGTTGAAGCGCACTCGAGCTTTGCTCTCATTCTCCGCAATGGCGAAGTAGTTGAGAAGGTCGAAGTGGCCCATGTAGGAGCAGTAGGAGTCGCGGTGCTGGTTCACCAGCCACTCCCACTTGGTGGTGTCGGCGTGGCCCGTGCCGATGTACTTGGACTGCAGGTGCTCCAGCTGGCTGTGGATGGTGTAGCGGTCCGTCATGTCGCCGCTTGCCTCGCAGCGCTCGGGTCAGGGGCCGCGGCCGAGAAGGAGCGGGCTCTGGAGAGTAACGCGGCAGGGGGACCGCACCGCCGAACCTCCGGACCGGCAGAGTCGCTGGCGAATGACGTCACCGCCACCTCCTCGCGGTTCGAGGATTCAGAGACGGAAGCGGAAGTGTATTCTGTCACCTAATTGGAGCTGCCTAGGCGACGCTATAAGTCGGCGGCCCCTATCGTGAGCCCCGCCCCCTTCCGGAGAGCGTTGCATGATGGTCCACTTAGCGGCCCTTTTCCTCACAGGGAGGGTTGCATGCTGGGACTTGTGGTCTCCGAAGCCTCCTGCGTGCGAGCTCCCGGGAGCCCTGGCCTCGTCGTACGAGGCCTCGGGCGGCCTAACGGAGGGGGCTGTCAGGGCGGCGGGTAATGTCCATAGGCGGTTTGGGGCCGACAGGAAAGGGGAAACTCTAGTGGCACACCACGGGCAACTTGGAAAAGGAACTCGCTATAGTTTTGATGTCGGGGCTGACGTGGCTGCACGGTAGCCCCTTCCCAGTGGGCGGTAGGTCACCCTGAAGTCGGCGGGCTCGGGTTCCGGTGCTTGCTAGTCGCGTGCGGGGCCTGCCGACCTAACGGGTACCAGTTCCCGCGCGG